TATATATATATATATATATAGACACACACACACACACACATGTATATTGACGTAAAAACGAAACCTAAATTTTCAGCTACAGGGCTTTGTTTTATAAAATACTAGTAGAGTACCCGGGGTTGCTCGGATGAATATGGCTTTAACTGATTGAGTTCTTTATTTACATTCTAATTTATTGATCTATTGTAGATCATTTTTTACATAATATTTTTTGTCTTGCTGTCAGGAGCAAAGAAGAAGAGATTATGAGCAGAGAAGCAAATGAAGGCTCCACGAAGTTTTAAAATCGTTTTAACACGTAACTGATCTTGGATAGAATGATTAGAAGTTCTCACACAGAGAAGAAACGTAAATAATAGCCCTCTTGATCAAACATTACCAAAAAATCCGGCCTTTTCAATTTGAGACCAGTTGGTCCTCGTGTTTGCCAAAAATTTGCTATATTGGTTACTTTGGCCTCAATTTGCGGCCTGTGAGGCCGCGGCAACATAGCCCATGATACTTCCTGCACAAAGTGGTATCTGTACACCGAGTTTTGAGTTCGCAGTTTTAAAGATGTGGCGTTTGCCAAAAATTGCTATATTGGTCACCTGTCCTCAAAATTGCCTCTGAGGCAGCGGCCACGTAACCAAAGTTACTTCCTGCACAAAGTTGTATCTGTAACTGAGTCAAATTGGAGCGTGTAGATTTAAAGATGTGGCCGTGCATATGAGAAAGACAGATAGACAGACATTCGCGCTTATATATGTAGATAGTGACGTTCGAAGCGGTTTGTATTTTCTTTTAGCTTTATGCTTGGATGACTTACTTTCTTGTTCGTATACTCTGAAAGGGCAAGGAAAAGCGTGATGATCCAAGTAAGAAACTTGACCTAAATTCTGGCGATAAATATCGAAACGAATCCATACTTCACAATATTAGTTGTATGTTACGTTTAATATAAGTTCTTTATGTGGGATTTAGGGTGTTGGTTTATGCGTAACCTGTACTGACTCGGTTCTGTCGTGTATCCCGTGTCACTGTAAATTACTAACGCATACAGTCTGGAGAATTATGTTCCGTGTTTTGATCTTTATGTAAATATCCACAACTTTCTAATTAGCGTTGGATGCATGTGATCTGTCAAGTGAAAAACGACATGAACAAGCCTGATTGAGAATCAGGAATGCGTGTATTGGTAAGATTTAGTGTTTCAAAATAAAGGATTATAATTGTACACATATTGTAAAATGATGAGGTATTTCAACCTTTGGCATCTTGAAAATATTTTACCTACATAGCACAGCCCTTAATATTAATCTACAGCTTGTGTTTTTTTCTATAGATTTTGAATACTTAAACGCATATATCGATGGTTTTGGGAATATGTATTGAAATATACAATATCCAGTCAATAATATTGTTCGGCGGTATTTGGGAATATGTATTGAAATATACAATATCCAGTCAATAATATTGTTCGTCGGTTTTGGGAATATGTATTGAAATATACAATATCCAGTCAATAATATTGTTCGTCGGTTTTGGGAATATGTATTGAAATATACAATATTCAGCCAATACTAGTGTTCGGTGGTTTTAGGAATATGTATTGAAATATACAATATCCAGTCAA